TGGAGATACTCTTGATGCAGGCTTGGTCCTCTGTTACACTAGCTGAAGTGCTTTGAGAGACTAGTTATGGACCCTATCACCTCCACCTTACCCGACACCCTAGACCCACTACAATTCGCATATCGCCCCAACAGATCCACGGATGATGCAAACGCCATTGCACTGCACACTGCCCTATACCACCTGGACAAGAGAAATACCTATGTAAGAATACTGTTCATCGACCAGCTCAGCCTTCAACACCATAGTGTCATCCAAGCTCATCACTAAGCTCAGGGCCCTGGGTGTGAACCCCGCCCTTTGCAACTGGGTCCTGGACTTCCTGACGGGCCGATCCCAAGTGGTGAAGATAGGCAACAACACCTCCGCCACGCTGATCCTCAACACGGGGGCCACATAGGGGTGCGTGCTCAGCCCCCTCCTGTACTCCCTGTTCACCCATGACTGCGTGGCCATGCACGTCTCCAACTCAATCATCAAGTTTGCTGACGACACAACAGTGGTAGGCCTGATAACCAACAACGATGATACAGCCTACATGGAGGAGGTGAGAGCCCTGGCGGAGTGGTGACAGGAAAATAACCTCCCCCTCAACGACAACAAAGCGAAGGAGCTGATCGTGGACTTCAGGAGACAGCAGAGAGAGCACGTCCCCATCCACATCGACGAGGCCATAGTGGAGAATGTCAAAAGCTTCAAGTTCCTCGATGTGCACATCACTGACAACCTGACTTGGTAGGAGTGCCTCTTCAACCTAAGGAGGCTGAAGAAATTTGGCTTGGTCCCTAAGACCCTCACGAACTTCTACAGATGCACCATTGAGAGCATCCTGTCAGGCTGTTCATTGCCTGGTACAGCAATTACACTGTCCGCAACCGCAGGGCTCTCCAAAGGGTGGTGCGGTCACCCCAACACATCACTGGGGGCAAACTGCCTGCCCTTCAGGACATCTCCAGCTCCCGGTGTCACAGGAAGGCCAAGAAGATCATCAAGGACCTCAGCCAACCGAGCCACAGCCTGTTCACCCCGCTACCATCTAGAAGGCGGAGACAGTATAGGTGCATCAAAACTGGGACTGGTAGACTGTTAAACAGTCACCACTAGAAAAAGAAAAGGAGAGCCTCACACTCTAGGAGCTCAGATGCAATAATTTTATAACCAACGTTTCGACAGACAAGCTGTCTTCATCATCTTCAAACAGTCACTACTAGTCTTAGTCACTGTTCTAGCCGGCTACCACCCGGTACTCTACCCTGCACCTTAGAGACTGCTACCATATGTACTGTACATAGTCAATGAACACTGGTCACTTTAATAATGTACATACTGTTTTACCCACTTGATATGTATATGCTGTATTCTAGTCATTGAACACTGGTCACTTTAATAATGTTTACATACAAAACACACCATTATATGAACTGTATATATACAGTGAGGGAAAAAAGTATTTGATCCCCTGCTGATTTTGTATGTTTCCCACTGACAAAGACATGATCAGTCTATAACTTTTAATGGTAGGTTTATTTGAACAGTGAGAGACAGAATAACCAACAAAAAATCCAGAAAAACTCATGTCAAAAATGTTATAAATTGATTTGCATTTTAATGAGGGAAATAAGTATTTGACCCCTCTGCAAAACATGACTTAGTACTTGGTGGCAAAACCCTTGTTGGCAATCACAGAGGTCAGACGTTTCTTGTAGTTGGCCACCAGGTTTGCACACATCTCAGGAGGGATTTTGTCCCACTCCTCTTTGCAGATCTTCTCCAAGTCATTAAGGTTTCGAGCGTGACGTTTGGCAACTCGAACCTTCAGCTCCCTCCACAGATTTTCTATGGGATTAAGGTCTGGAGACTGGCTAGCCACTCCAGGACCTTAATGTGCTTCTTCTTGAGCCACTCCTTTGTTGCCTTGGCCGTGTGTTTTGGGTCATTGTCATGCTGGAATACCCATCCACGACCCATTTTCAATGCCCTGGCTGAGGGAAGGAGGTTCTCACCCAAGATTTGATGGTACGTGGCCCCGTCCATCGTCCCTTTGATGCGGTGAAGTTGTCCTGTCCCCTTAGCTGAAAAACACCTCCAAAGCATAATGTTTCCACGGTGGGGATGGTGTTCTTGGGGTCATAGGCAGCATTCCTCCTCCTCCAAACACGGCGAGTTGAGTTGATGCCAAAGAGCTCGATTTTGGAGAGAGAGCTCTTAGGTCTTCTTTGGAATCTGATTGATTGATTGCTTCTGTGGACAGGTGTCTTTTATACAGGTAACAAGCTGAGATTAGGAGCACTCCCTTTAAGAGTGTGCTCCTAATCTCAGCTCGTTACCTGTATAAAAGACACCTGGGAGCTAGAAATCTTTCTGATTGAGAGGGGGTCAAATACTTATTCCCCTCATTAAAATGCAAATCAATTTATAACGTTTTTGACATGCGTTCTTCTGGATTTTTTTGTTGTTATTCTGTCTCTCACTGTTCAAATAAACCTACCATTAAAATTATAGACTGATCATGTCTTTGTCAGTGGGCAAACATACAAAATCAGCAGGGGATCAAATACTTTTTTCCCTCACTGTACAGTATCTGCAGGGCCACTAAAAACCATGTTAAACCCTTATAGATCCAGATAAAGCTGACAGATAGGATCCTAATATAGCAGATCAACGAGAGATCCACGTGAGAAAGCCTTTAAAACTCCTACAACAAGACACTTCCCCCTCTAAAGTCTACTGCTACAATTGTAAATCAAATCCAAATCAAAGTTCATTGGTCGTGTTCACAGATTTGCAGATGTTATCGCAGGTGCAGCGAAATGCTAGTGTTTCTAGCTCCAACAGTGCAGTAATACCTAGCAATAATAATAGATTAAAAAATACACACTTTCCAGAAAAATAAAGAAATTAAGAAATAGCAGAATGCGCAATATCAGACTGGAATATAAATATAGACTGAACAAAAATATAAAAGCAACATGTAAAGTGTTGGTCCCATGTTTCATGAGCAGAAATAAAAGATCCCAGAAATGTTCCATATGTACCAAAAGCGTATTTCCCTCAAATGTTGTGCACAAATGTGTTTACATCCCTGTTAGTAAACATTTCTCCTTTGCCAAGATAATCCATCCACCTGAAAGGTGTGGCATTTCAAGATCATTACACAGGTGCACCTTGTACTGGGGACAATAAAAGGCCACTAAAATGTGCAGTTTTGTCAAACAACACAATGGCACAGATGTTTCAAGTTTTGAGGGAGCATGCAATTGGTATGCTGACTGCAGGAATGTCCACCAGATCTGTTGCCAGAGAATTGAATGTTCATTTCTCTACCATAAGCCGCCTCAAACGTCATTTTAGAGAATTTCGCAGTACGTCCAACTGGCCTCACAACTGCAGACCACATGTATGGTTGTTGTGTGGGCGAGCGGTTTACTGATGTCATCGATGGCAATTTGAATGCAGAGAGATACCTTGACGAGATCCTGAGGCCCATTGTCATGCCATTCATCCCCCACTATCACCTCATGTTTCAGCATGATAATGCACGACCCCATGTCGCAAGGATCTGTACACAATTCCTGGAAGCTGAAAATGTCCCAGTTCTTCCATGGCCTGCATACTCACCAGACATGTCACCGTTGAGCACGCTTGGGATGCTCTGGATCAACGTGTACGACATCGTGTTCCAGTTCCCACCAGTATCCACAACTTCGCACAGCCATTGAAGAGGAGTGGGACAACATTCCACAGGCCACTATTAACAGCCTGATCAACTCTATGCGAAGGAGATGTGTCGCGCTGCAAAATGATGGTCACACCAGATACTGAATGGTTTTCTGATCCACGCCCCTACCCTTTTTTTAAGGTACAGTATATGGAGTAGGTAGAATCTCAACCTGAGAAAACAACAATACAAAACCCCCTCTCAAAGCAAGGTAGTTCAAACAACTCTGGCAAAGCCTGACATATTTGAAAGTGGATAGGATTCTAATCTCTATACAAATGATTGGGGTTACTCCTATCCATATGTCATAACAATCAGCACATTCTGTGTAGGCTACGGAAGTTGCTTAATTTCATTTGCTGTACAGCTGCAGACTATCATAAATGAGGTGCTCCTACTTCTACAGTTGTAATCAGGCTTTGAATTATGCATCCAATCTTTTGAGTGCGATAGAACAAATGTGCTGGGCCAATATGGATATTTCCTAAACTTATGGAGGTGTTCTGAATTGTAATGGGATTGGCTATAGCACCCTTAGGGACCCCAGTAATCCTACTCCTTAATGTCTTGCTCAGACTCTGACAGAAACGTATAAGCCTATCTGGTACTGGTCTTGATTCTCATCTAGCCAGTCAATGTGATTTCTTCTCTCTGCCTCAGAGCAGTAATCAGCCAAAACAAGGCAGCATTACGCCACTCCTAATATGGATGCCGTACCAGTCAATCGTAATAAGATTCCTTACCGGTAAGTCCTAATATGGATGCCGTACCGGTCTCCCATCTCACCCCCAGCAGCTGATTGAAATTCTCAGCCAGTACTATCAGTCAGAGGAAATGTTTAAGTGCCATTCCTTCCACTCATCTGGAATAATAAGGCACAGTGCTCCTTATTAGTGTGGCAACTCCCTCTGTTCCGTTTCTGACCATCAACTATTCCACTATTCCCTTTTCTCATCCTGAGCTGTGAGTTCCTAAGTGTTACTCTCGCTGGTGCATGTGTGCGGGCGAGCAAGAGGGTGTGTGTGTTGCCCTCTCCTCAACAGCAGTAATCTGAGTTTCCCTGTAGTGTTGCTCTCTGTTTTCATCTCAGATACTATAAGCTCCTGAACTCTGCATAGGTTTTTTCTTCTCCCATTTGCCCCTTAGAGCTAGTCCTTGCTCTCCTCTCCACTGGGAACAACTGAAATTCCTCAACAATTATGAATGTGACGTTATAATATTAAACATGACAGTAACATCAAACTGACCCATTCTTATTCGATTCCCCCTCTCTCCTCCAGAAGCTCCAGGCCAGGACTTTGTAAACCTGGACTACCGGCTGCGCTACTACCCCAGCATCACCTACGCAGTCATCGGCAGCGCTGTCATCTTTGTCCTGGTGGTGGCACTGTTGGCCCTGGTCCTGCACCACCAGAGGAAGCGCAGCATGCTGTTGCCCCGGGGGGTCCGGGGGTCCTCCTACCACCACCACCACCATCAGCCCCTGCTGCTGTCCCGCCTGGTCATCCTAGACCGGGGACACGTCCACCCAGCTGTCCCTGGCCTCTCCCCCACCTCCCCGTCTGCAGCAGCCCAGTACAGTGCAGGTCCCCCAGGGCTACAGCTGCTGTCTAGGGCCCTCTACCCTGCTGGCATGCCCATGGACTCGCCACCCTCCTACTCCCAGGCTGTGCTGGATGTCAGGTAGACATACAGTAAATCTAGTGTACTGGAGGGAGTAGCATGAGGCTAATCGTTTTGTCAACTGTAACTTTGCCTATTTAAATGTGTTTTTTTGTATTGATCTGCCTCTAAACTTGATTTTAGAATACTTTGGAGCATAATTTATTCATTTATTAGGTAGGACGCTCGAATACAACAGTGCAATAGTATCCTAATTATATGTGTGCTTCTTCCTGTATCTATTTTTCCTTCTCCATCACGCCTCCAGCCGGCCTCCCTGGTTTGACCTTCCCCCGCCTCCCTACCTCCCAGACAGGGAGCTGCCGTCAGAAGGAGAGCTGCCCCAGTACGAAGTCCCCACAGAGCCCTCCACTCAGCCCAGCACACACCCCTCTGAGCCCCCCACACCCAGAACTGTGGCCCCAGGCTTGTCCCGACCTAGCTTCAGCTCCAGCTCCAGAGAGGAGTCGGACTAGCTGTAGTCCTCCTCTGGTGACTACATGTACATAGGACTACAATACCCAGCCTCAGGGCTGTGGCAGGCTGAAGAGAGAGGGGCTGTTCAATATGGGAAGGCCCAACAGACTGTCCTGCCTAATGTGAGAATGAGAGACAAGGCTCTATTCTACCGATAGCTACAGCTGACTGACTAAGGCACTTGGAATCATTGCTATTGTATGCTGTCGCCCTCTGATGGAGATGTATCTACATATCCCCTGACTGGACTAACTCGCTTAGTCAATCAATCAATCAAACATCAGTCAATTGCATTTAATCTGTGGCTATATAGTGCTTTTTACAATTTAATTTCTCACAGTGTGCTTAACAACAGCAAGGGCCTAAACTTCCAAAGATAAAGTAAAAACTCCCACAGCCTCCCAACGCTATGCATCTCCTGTTGGACTGGTGAAGAACCTGGTTGGTGCGAGATCTCGTAGCTTGGTTGAGTTGATTGGATGGATGGGCAACCTGTGTAGTACAGTCATGCATTAACAATGTAGTAGGACTCACAGTGACTAACATTGTTTGTGGTACTCATAAAGGGTCAAATGTCACATGGTATTACAGTTACAGTAGCAGATGTAGATGTTGTGCAAACATAGTGAAAGAGATACAGGGTCAGATCTGTAATGTTACAGTTTAGCACATTAAAACAGCCAGTTAGAAACAGAAGCACATGCGTAGTGGATACATTGATATGGGGCACGTTTTTCCTCCCATCCATATTGTATAATGCTGGTTCTCTTCAATCTCTATTCTCATTGGCCATCTCTTTCATTTCATAGGGATAACTGTATTGTTCTGTCATATAGCACTTATCATGATTGCTGGGTTTACACGTAATTCATGTTTTGGCATGAACTCAAATGGAAGTATTATTTGAGGAAGATAAAATGTTGATAAAAGACACTCCTACTGAGTAATGTCCCAAAGCAATGTAGTTTTTGGGGTATCTGGACCTTTTCAAAGCACTCAAATATATGTTTAACAACTGTGTGTCTGCTGTCCCACTCAGGGTCTAGTTTGACAGAAGTTAATTGAGGTCATGTTCTACTGCCCATGAGGACAGTGCATATTGCTTTGTTTTGATATTATATCTGTCCAGACATCAGTAGTAACTTTAATGACAGGAAAACAAATGGTGCGTGACGAGAACATCCCCACACCTAGACTATCTAACCATAGAGAATACATCATAAAGTGCTTTCTCCTGTAGACTGGAGCAGAGACCCTTCTACTTGTTGCCTTGAAACACAAATGTGTACATTGAAATAAGCATTTGGGATCCTCCTCAAGTTAAAGAACATAATTCAAGTCAGTAACAAATACAGAAGTTGTTCAATTGGCTCTTATGTAGTCACTGAACAAAAATATCAGCCATTTTCTACTTGGTTCCATAATGATGTCTTACTGACTGCACCATGTACCTCCTACCTCCATGTTTTTTTTGACAAACTGAAATAGTTGATAGTCATGTAAATGGTTGGTCATGCATACAGTGTTATCGCACACTAAATAGTATTAGTGTATTTCAATCAATGCTATATGTCAATCAGAAAATGTATTTTTTGCTCCACAAATTACATTTAGATACATTAATTATATACAGTTTTGACTCCATACATATTAACATTTTAACCCTTTGTAGTGCTTATTTAAACAGAATTGTATCAGATCAATGTCCTTACTGGGTTGTTGAGGCAAATCAAATCACATTTTATTTGTTTCAGGTGCCTTACCGTGAAATGTTTACTTACAAGCCCTTAACTAACAATGCAGTTTTTTGAAAATATTTACTAAATAAACTAAAGTAAACGTGTAAATAAACTTAGACAAGCTTCTTTGTATGGAGCTCTAGAAGTGAAATTCCATTTGGGGCTGATTTACCTACAGTACCTTGTGCCGTGGTTCAAATGTCTCTCATATTGTATTTATTGGATACATACTCAACCACTTACTCATAGGATCCCGACTGTCTCAAATGCTGTAACTGCCATTCCTATTTTCTGAATTTGCACCATCTGACCAATTCAATTGACACCCAATAATGTTTATGTTTGGATAAAGAAGAAAAATACCCAATTAATTGTATGTTTAGAAATGTGTAAGTTGCATGACAGATGTCTCGGCTGTACAGATGATGTGAGAGAGAAGACTGACATTCCCTGTCTGTTTGTCTGTCTGTCTGTCTGCACCACCCTGCCCAGCCTACTGTGCAGTAACTAGCAGTAATCATTGACTGACTGGTGAAATGCCTATCTGAAGGATCTGTGCATATGTAATGTATTGTTGTTGTCGTGTCATTTCATTTCAGAACTTGTCAAGGGTTTCATGTGACCATGTACATATAGAGAGAGCGAGAGTAGAGACGTATTTAAAAGCAGCATATTTAGACATTAAACTAAGAAAATACTGTTTAACTATGAAACGTACTTTGGATGGTACCTCTGTCTTTTGTCCATGTCCCCAGCAGTCATTAGGCTGCTGGCATTATTAAACAACCTAGAAACCTAAGATTATCACTCATCATCCCCATCAAACCCAGAAGATAAGCCTTACTCTCCAGAGTCACATCCCAAAACAGTGTTGTGCCTCGTTTTGTTTCAGATACCTAGCTGACTAGAGAAAGAGGAGTCGTATTACTCTTATACAAAGGGGGAAATCCTCTTCATCATTAGATAACTGGAGAATGATACTCAGAGTCTCAGGATGAATCTACTCATAGCTGGGTTGTATTCACTAGGAACCAACAGAAGCGAACAGGCTGAAACGGGGAGGGACTACCTGAAATTGTACAATAAGAAATGTGTGTTTTTGTTTTCCGTTGCAAAACGTTTTGCTATGGTGTGCACTAATGAATAAAGCCCTGGTCTGTTGCGTTTCTGTTACAACACACTGTTACACTCTTTTCATGTCACTATATACGTTTGGTTTTTGACATAGTGATTACTGATTTGTTGTTCCATTCTGTTGGAGACTTCTGTTTCGTGTTTGTATCATTTATTAATGATGACGCCACCTTTTTGTTTCTAATGAAAAATATTATGTACATTGAAAGTAATATAAAGTGGTTCTGATTCAAAGATGTGTCAAGTGTTTTTCTCATAAAATTCAGTATTTGTTTCCCATCATAATCTATGGGAAATGTAATTATTGTTGTTTATTTCACATGGTTGCACATGGGATTCAGTTCACTAATCCTACCACATGGTGTCACTCTTTCCATACAATACAATTGGCCTGGATTAGAGATGACCAACTGTTGTCTTCAACAGAATGGTCTTCACACCTCGACAGTGCATGTCTGTTGTGTGGGCAGGGTTATGCTAACTCTCCCTATAGGCTCTATCTCTATCTATTAACTAATTTCCCGCCTTGTGATGTCTCCAGGCAGGCAAAAACCCCATCACACCAAAACAGGCTGAAATTTCAGCTCTTATTTTATCATACAATTACACTGGAGGAAAACAAACTCTTATTAAAGGCCCAGTGCAGTAAAAAACATGATTTTCCTGTGTTATATATACACTGCTCAAAAAAATAAAGGGAACACTAAAATAACACATCCTAGATCTGAATGAATGAAATAATCTTATTAAATACTTTTTTCTTTACATAGTTGAATGTGCTGACCACAAAATAACACAAAAATGATCAATGGAAATCAAATGTATCAACCCATGAAGGACTGGATTTGGAGTCACCCTCAAAATTAAAGTGGAAAACCACACTACAGGCTGATCCAACTTTGATGTAATGTCCTTAAAACAAGTCAAAATGAGGCTCAGTAGTGTGTGTGGCCTACAACGCCTGGGCATGCTCCTGATGAGGTGGCGGATGGTCTCCTGAGGGATCTCCTCCCAGACCTGGACTAAAGCATCCTCCAACTCCTGGACAGTCTGTGGTGCAACGTGGCGTTGGTGGATGGAGCGAGACATGATGTCCCAGATGTGCTCAATTGGATTCAGGTCTGGGGAACGGGCGGGCCAGTCCATAGCATCAATGCCTTCCTCTTGCAGGAACTGCTGACACACTCCAGCCACATGAGGTCTAGCATTGTCTTGCATTAGGAGGAACCCAGGGCCAACCGCACCAGCATATGGGCTCACAAGGGGTCTGAGGATCTCATCTCGGTACCTAATGGCAGTCAGGCTACCTCTGGCGAGCACATGGAGGGCTGTGCGGCCCCCCAAATAAATGCCACACCATGACTGACCCACCGCCAAACCGGTCATGATGGAGGATGTTGCAGGCAGCAGAACGTTCTCCACGGCGTCTCCAGACTCTGTCACGTCTGTCACATGTGCTCAGTGTGAACCTGCTTTCATCTGTGAAGAGCACAGGGCGCCAGTGGCGAATTTTGCCAATCTTGGTGTTCTCTGGCAAATGCCAAACATCCTGCACGGTGTTGGGCTGTAAGCACAACCCCCACCTGTGGACGTCGGGCCCTCATACCACCCTCATGGAGTCTGTTTCTGACCGTTTGAGCAGACACATGCACATTTGTGGCCTGCTGGAGGTCATTTTGCAGGGCTCTGGCAGTGCTCCTCCTGCTCCTCCTTGCACAAAGGCGGAGGTAGCAGTCCTGCTGCTGGGTTGTTGCCCTCCTACGGCCTCCTCCATGTCTCCTGATGTACTGGCCTGTCTCCTGGTAGCGCCTCCATGCTCTGGATGCTACGCTGACAGACACAGCAAACCTTCTTGCCACAGCTCGCATTGATGTGCCATCCTGGATGAGCTGCATTACCTGAGCCACTTGTGTGGGTTGTAGACTCAGTCTCATGCTACCACTAGAGTGAAAGCACCGCCAGCATTCAAAAGTGACCAAAACATCAGCCAGGAAGCATAGGAACTGAGAAGTGGTCTGTGGTCACCACCTGCAAAACCAGTCCTTTATTGGGGGTGTCTTGCTAATTGCCTATAATTTCCACCTGTTGTCTATTCCATTTGGACAACAGCATGTGAAATGTAT